GCTTGCGGATTTAATACCGAGCTCGCGAAAGCCTGTCGCGAAACCCGGCTCGTTCGTTTGCGGACTAACAAGGCATCCGTTGAACGGTAATACGGAATATCGGGAGTCTTAACGAGCCTCGTAAAACCGTTATTGTTACTTGAACGGCATCAATAGCGCTATCGTGTTTTACTGTTACGCGCGTTCTTTGTAATAAAGTTCCTCGCCGTACGTTGACGCTCTTCGGGACGCTCGCGGAAACGCTCGCCCGTTGGTTAGCGAGCGATAAATTCCGTTTGCAACTAACAAACTCGAATCGAACCTGTTCTCCACTCCGTATGGACATCGACGTTCCTATATTTAGGACCGTTCGAGTATTTTATCAAGCTCGTTATCAAGATACGATAATAAGTTCGTTTCTAGAAGTCTTTGTTTACAACTGTATTTCATGGACTGAGTTGAAATAGGATTCGAGTATTTTTGAAATTGTCTGCCCGACGCTCCTTAATTACAACGTTCGATCCATTAATTCCTCACCCTCTGGTTGCAATCGCTTACCGATACGATACGTTATCGCGTTTGTCGGGCAATCAGATGTTATTTACGCAAACAGCTGTATTTCGAGGATCGTATACTTCGGTTTTTGTCTTCTATGCAATTTACCTTTACCGTGTCAAATATTTATCCAAAGAAGGGGGGTACATCGGTTGGCGTTATAGCGTGTAATCGGATGTGGAAATCAGATAGGTTCAAATACAGCTGGATCCTGACGGGCTCATGGTTTTTTCTCTCCAAATGTCCTGTTGGGGTAACCGTATAAAACTCGATATCGAAACGAACGTTTCAAGGTAACGAATTAGAATTTTTGAACGAGAACGACGATGCTCGCGAAAAGGCGGAAATTTTCGAGAAACGAAGAAAATCCGAGGAGGGATCACGGTGCCCCGATCGAGAAGCATCTTTCCGGTAACATAATACCGAAGGACCTTGTGGTTGCTCGCACACACAATCATCCCCCGCTCCCTGCTCCTTTACGTCATCTGCACCGTGCCTCCTGGCTTTTAGCCTTTGAATAATATTTGAATTGCGTAATGCTCCTCTAAAAGGGGGTCGTTACCGCATAAGGGGCAGATGATCCCGTGTGATCAACGGATTAGTTTCTTTCGGGCATGCGATTTTATCGAGGAAATTAAGAAAGCTGCCATGGGAACAAATAATATTATGGTTTCGTCTGACGACGTCGCAAGAAATAATTTCATCAAGGGCGTAACTCCAAGACGGAACAAAATGGGGCACTTGTCTCCCCCCGGCTGTTTATAAATAAATTCTAAATTCAATGTCGATTAATTCTGACTACGCCCTTGGCGATATTGCGATACTCGGAGCGCCTGGAATTAAACGTCCGCTGTAAAATTTAGTGCCCCGCGTAAATTAGATATAAATAATGTTAATATAATCAAAAACGAAAATCTACGTAGTTATCGTAAAAGTTCGCGATTAATAAAATTACACGAGCTATACGTTGATATACGGTTCTATTACAGAACACAGATGTCTCCCCGAAGAATCCAGATGGCGAATAAAATTTAATGAAGCCCCAAAGGGGTCGAAATCGTTTATAATCCCGCGCAAGATATTACTCGCGACGTTATTGTACGTCTAGATGGTACTTATTGTATTTTTTCAACGTACGAATAAATTCGAATTCTTCGTTTAATAAGCACGTCCTGACGAGAACCGGATCGCGAGCAGGAACTGTAACTCACAGCCAGACTAGCCTTAATGTTTTCATACGCCTCGATCTCGATTCGTCTTTCCTCTTCTGTGTCCAACCCTCCTCCGATTCGATCTCTCTTTTTTACTTTTATTTTCAGTGAGATTCTCGATCGTCGGCGCAGCGCAAAAGGGATATACAAGACAGTATCCACTGTACGTTCACGTACTGGAATTCAACCACGATGCTCGCGACTAAAAATGCAAAATTAAAGGACTCGCTGAAAATTTTCTATACAATTTCCTTGTACTGGTGTATTCATCACTGTAATCGTTCAAGTACCAAACTTGTGCCCCATTTATCAGAATTAAATGACAAATTATCTCTCCAAATCAGACGAAAACAGCTGAAAAAAGGAGTCGAAATATTTAAGGGGAGCTGTAACTAATGCCTGTGTTAAATTCCGTTGGTAAAACCAAGAGAATCGTGTGAACAAATTCGTTATTTATTTTCCATAAATATATCCCTTAGTCTGCGTTCGAGCGTAACTGGCGCAGAGGCAGGGTTCCCTTTCGAAACGAGGTGTAAAAATTGGAAATTGTTCGCGCGGTACAATTTGACGTCCGCGAGCGTAATCTACGTGCCTTTTCCCTCTCTCGTCAATTTCCTACGCCCTCTCTCCCTTCATCGTTTCAGTCGTTTTCACTCGCAGGCACCGCGTAAAATAATAATATTAAGCCAGGTGAGATTTAATCGGGGGCCTTTGAACGAAGCCGGACTGGCATGCATGCTTCGAAATCGCAGCTTGGTGTTACCGGTGTGTTAACTCGCGCGCGCGCACGCCCACAATCTACCGTTGCACACGCACGTGTGCGAGAATCACATTCATGTTTGACGGCGAGCTTGAGTGTACTTGGTAACGTGGGATACGATGGTTTGTTCTTTCGAACGAATTATAAAAACACAAATCGAATTTTAATACAATCTTAACGGAGCCTATTCTCGAGAAAAAAGATTGTTCTCTCGTAGACGTGAGAATAAAAACATTAAAAATACGCATAAATTCATGGGCTGAGCTCCGATGACATCTTGGATAAATTAATCGTAAGTTTTAAACAAGGTTCACGAGGTGCCCCGATCGGAGCAGCGAAGAAAGCGCATGTAGAACCACCCCTTGAAAAATAATTAACATTGTCAAAGAGCCCCTTCGCGTTATCGCGGTCTTTAATCCATCGTAATCTGTCTATTCCTTTATTCCGTCACCTCTCACCCTTTTCCTCGACGCGTCGTCCTGTTCCCATTTGCTTCCAGGACGAATAATTTCCGACCCCCGATACACGTTCGCCATTTAACGTTTTATATCCTCCGAGCAAGATACGACTTTCGAAAACATGTATTACTCTCCTACAATTATAGAATTCGAAGATGTAATCCCGCCTTAAACGCCGACGTGAATAAAAATATTGTTTTCCAAGTTTTACAGAAACTGGAAATATTGGTCCGGGGAAACAGAAAATAGCGCCGAACGATCGCGGCGTTTTGCATCTGCCGCGATGCTAAATAATTTTAACGGATGTTATTAACGTCTGTCGTAACGAGGGAAATTCTAATTACCGCGGAGCCCCGGTAGCGATTAATCGAAAGTGATTTGTTCATTCCGCTCGAGTAAGTGTTTCTACGATCGGCCCGACGCTCGAGATCTGTGTTTTCAGAAATGAAATCGGATGTACGAGCTGATTGCATCGCGAGCCAAGAGCACACGGGCGTGTGTCGCGCGAGTTTTATCGATTATGTACTCGGTGACAAGACAGTGTACAAGTTAAACGACTTCTGGCTTCTACACCGTCTTCCCCGCGCTAAAAGAAAACTGCTGAAACGTTATAACTATTATTAATTCGTAGCGATCGATATTGTACAGCGTCTCGGGATGATATTTCAAATAAAATTTCATTCGTAAATAAATCTGTATCCTCTTGTTGCGTTTCGATCCTTTGATAAGGGAACTACGTTTCGAGCAAGAGTGTATTTTGAGGCAAAGTCGTTCCCTGAAATAAAAACGCGACGGCCAAAGTCCAAAGGAAAGTTCCAACGAGGCTAATGATTCCCGACTACGCCGGGCTAGGGAGATCCATAGAAAATCAACGGGAACGCGTTCTGTTCTCCCGTTAAGGTGCTAAATTGATGAATGAGTCGCGAAAACGGGAAACATTTCATCGTATCGCGCCGGCCTTGGCTAATAGAACTTGTCCAACTTGATTATTCGGGCTCGAAGATGCGTGAGGTTAATGGCGATGGGCGAAGTTGCGAACGCGTTGTTTAAGTGACTGATGTTTTCGTTTAATTCGAAGGATCCTCGCGATTCCGATGTTCGTTGCATCGTTCGAGCGAAAATTAAAATGTAAAAACATAATCTACGACGAACTGAGCACGCGAAACGATACGGCAAACACCGGGTAAAAAAGATGTGGCTCTAAGGCGGTGCCTTGACAGTTTCGTCCACCCTCTGCCATTAAGTAAATTGACTTCCACATACCGGCGGACTAAATAACAATCTAATTTCCATAATGCGTAAACGACGCCACCTTTTTTCATCGGGACGCATTGCTTTTCGCTACCCTCTACCGCTGCATCGTCTTCTCGCGAAGCTCTGCGACAACCAAGACGCGCAAACAAGCCCTGGTGAAGTTGGAAAATTCTAATCGCCTTCCAGAACCTCCTCGTAGGTTGGTCGATGACCAACGTGGCCGGTCGATAAATACGGGCGAAGTAAAATGACGTAACGATCTACCCTTGACATTACGTTAACAGCTGACGCAATTTGATACAGATTTAGGGCTTAACCCTATCGGTCCACCTTAGTCGGAGAGGTTTGCTCCCGTGGACACTGACCAGCTGTGTTGAACAACAAACGGCTGTCCGTCGAAGGAGCAGAGTTAAGCCTAATTCCGCGTATATTGCCTCTAACCTTTACGATGGACACGTTGGGCACGCACATCGGGAATTAACGTCCATAAGGAGGCTGGGGGGCAGGAACGTAAGCCAAACGTGCATCCCTCTACGCGTCGCGAGTATTATTCACTGAATTCTTGACCTTTCGAAACCTTAATTAAACTAACACCCCCCCCTGGTACTGCTATTATATACATCGCCAAACGTATACTCGCGCTAAAATTGATTATATCCGAGTATTAATAATTTACTAAACTTACCCTGAATACCAAAGTATAAAACATTGCATAAATAATATCGACCGTAAAGTTATTGTCGAGACCATGAGAAAGGCTGAGACTTACATTTTCTGTTGCAGCAGGAAAGACGAATCCAAATGTGGGCGAGTTCGGTGGTAGCACGATCAGGGGTACGACCGTATCCACGTACTCCAACACCACGAACGGTCCCGTGAGCTGCCTTACCGGCGGTCCGTTGGTCGGCATTGCAGGTGGATTCAACAATACCGGCCGTACCAACTTCACGAACAAGCAGCTTACGGAACTCGAGAAGGAGTTTCACTTCAACAAGTACCTGACCAGGGCAAGGCGTATCGAAATAGCGTCGGCGCTGCAACTGAACGAAACGCAAGTGAAAATTTGGTTCCAGAACAGAAGGATGAAGCAGAAAAAAAGAATGAAGGAGGGTCTGATACCTGCTGAGAACGCAACCATAGCGCCGCTCGGCGGTGCCAGGAGTAGCAGTAATTCGCCGACTAGTTCTTCTAGCCACGAAGCCGGCGGTCTTGGTTTATCGAATTTTACCAGCGACAATAGTCGGGAATCCCCGCCCTCCTCCACGAAAGATTGACGCGTTCTTTGCTGCAGCAATGAACGAATTTATGGTCTACGACTTAGCGACGATTGGTGAAAGTCGAAAGAGAATTAACTTATTTCAAATTTCCCGCAAGTCGAATGGTAATTCGAGTCGGTACACCTGCTGCAGCAACGATCGATAATCGCTACCCCGGACGGACGATCAATTATAACAAAATTAAAAGGCTACACGTGAATCGTTCTTGTAATAATGTAACACACCGTTTCCCGATGATCTTGCAAATCAACTATTAAAATTAATCGAACATAGAATAGAGATTCAACGACATATATAACAACTGTACGAGCTATTTATTTTGTTTCTAATTTGTGTATGCCGCGACGGCAATATTAATAGAATCGATCTGCGAGATTGATCGTTGAAATCATCCCGCAAGGTTACCATATACCTCAGTTTGTGTAAATGGTATAACAATATTTATATATGTAATTATAAATACCAATGATTAAATACAGTATATCCTGTAAAAATAAAAACTGTGAAAATACTATTTTGGATGCTTACCAGTTGCATCTAGAAATTTATCTTCTTTTTGGCGAGGACAATTGTTGTTTGATGTTATCATTTCTACTCTGTTGTGTAAATAGTTTGTATCTCGTACACCTGAAAAACGTAAAATAAAACGTGAGGAAAAAAATTTAGATACTTCAAGAACCGTAAGTCGCTTCGAGCATTCTTTGTAAATTTTGTATTTTTAAAGATAAATAATTAGATATTAAAAGATTATTCTGAAACTCGTGTTACTGTAAAATATAACTAAACAGTAAGGATGATCTTCGTAACTGTGTCAACGCACGAATATATTATAGCCATATCATAATGATAGCATGATAACAGTAGTTGTGCTCCCAATTTGAATATCTTCTGTATGTATATGTATATAAAATCTAATGCAAGTCTTGCATCAATGGCAGTGTATATCATTATACATTAATGAATTACGAAACTAAAAATGGACAAGTCATAGGACACGTTTCTTCTATAGCTGATCATACGAAGTGGAAATGCATGAACTGTACTGTATAATGAACTAGTCATTGAATGGCAAGATTAGTATTGATTATATTTAACTGGACTTGACCACTCGAAAATTTACAAATTAATATAATCATATAATTGTATGGATTGTATTGATCCATAAAAAAATTCTGTACCTAAATAAATTCACATATGATAAATTGTGATTAATCTGTAGTGTTACGTAGAATTCTATAGAAAGAATAAAGTATTATTATATTACTGTATGATGAAAACTTATAAAATCTACTGAAACTGCTCAAAGTATTGCATTCAACCTATGCTTATATTACGTCTGCTATAATTCCAGTGACAAATGAAGTCATGTAAATCTACAGCATATAGGAATAAAGCTGTATCTTGCAATTAGAAATGGATCGAAACGTAATTTTTTAGTTTCGCAAAACCCGAATTCAAAACTTTGCGAGGTATCGAAATCCTTGAAACACTCGAAACTCTAAATCTAAATACGTACCATCAATAAATTAAAAAACTCCCTAGAAACGGTAAATTTACATGTAGAATTCTATTTATATGATTAGAAATCTTGTTGCTCTTATGCAGGGAAAATTATTAGTTCTTATAGTTTATAATATGTAAAGGTTTACTTACAAGTAATAAATTTGAAATTCAGGCTGGCTAACTTCCTAAAACGAACATCTTTATAGCAATAAGTAACTATACTAAAGTCACTAACGCATAGTGTCACCAGACTGCAGACTGTCTGGTAACACTGTCAACACGTGAAGTTGGCAACATTGTGCTTTCATAACAAAGATTAATAAAAACATGAATCTCTTGATTTGATATCGGATTAAACGTATCTATTATGTATTGTAATTTGTACGTTTGCTACTCGGAGGAAATAATTGGCAAATAAAACAATCTATCAAATCAAAAAGTAAAAGTATAATTCACAAAAAACAATAACTTTAAGTAGTAAAAAAATTATTGACGAATGGATGATCACATAGGAAAAGCTGACTTAAAAATGAATGCCAACGAACTGCTTGCTTTTCAAAAAGAATTAAAGCAAGAACAGGATCTTCTTAAAAAAATATTATCAAAGATAGATAACCAAGTGCATAGTCTACAGGTAAATATTTTTAGATAAAATGTATCATCACTTTTGAAGCAAAGTAATGCGTTATTAAACTTTTTAGGTAGAACAACTTCATTTACTGGGATTAATTAACAAATCATTGAAGGATTCAGAAGAACAATCACCATTACACGAATCCGAAGACAACATGCAAGACTCTGCAAATAAATCTTTAGACTTATCCATAGCATCAAACTTTAAATATTTCCAAGAAGAACACGACGACGACGAAGACGACGACGATGACGATGATAGTTAACAGAATTAAATATTTGTATTTTATTAAAGCTCATTTTGTCGAAACAATGAAACCTGATCTTAATATATCGATGATTTATTTTACCAATATATATTGCGTTAATATATTTATCCTGGCTGTCGCGTTTGTCTTTTAACAATATCAGAAAAATACAGAAAGTAACAGTCTTGAATAAAAAAACAAACTAATATTATTTATTAAATCAAGGAGTTCAATTATCTATACAAGTTTGTTGTACCGGGAATAAAGTATCTTTCAACTACGAGCGTTTCAAAGAAATTGAAACATTTGTACTTAATTAGCCGTGTTATTTGAAGTATGTCTAAAATATTTATACATGTTTTACGCCGGGTAACCTTGCGTAGGCGAGCCAAGATGCGACGGATCGTCCGTAAAAGGTGCAGGTTTGAATTGTTCTGCGGACATACGAGTAAAAAATATTCCTACACCTTCTATTAAAGCCAATAACACTCCACCAATAATCGCACTACCAGCCATTGCTGGTAAACCATTTCTTGCAGCAAGTATACCACCGGTAGCTGCTCCACTGATAATAGAATTCCAAGGATCTTCCTTTTTCCTAAGATGAACCAATGTACAGTCTATTGTGGAAAACATACCACCCCATAGCGCAAAGTTTCCGGCAATAATGGGGGATCGTTGTTTAATGGCCATTAAACTTCCAAGAAATCGTTTGTTTATACCACTGGGTGCATTACGGAAGCCCTTAATACTTTGAAACACGGCGCCGCCGATAGCACCCATCGTGAATGCACCACCACAGTCATCTATTATACGCCAAGGGCATGGTTCTCTTGCATATTCTTCCATACCTCAATCAATTTTCTGTTAAAAGCGAAGTGTTCCATTTAAAATAATAAAGATTCACGATATTGTTCAGAAGTAACCTTAAACACTGGTACTTTTACAGTTTGTTTTGAAATTAATTTCGTTTCATCTTTATTATAACGTTTAATTTAATTCTACATACCATTCATAGTAAATAAAACTAATTCGTTCGTATATACTTCAAGAGATCGCGATAAAAATGTACGTGATAAATAGTGTAATGTAAATGAGGTTATGTACACTAAATCCTCGTGCATAATTAGTGAACACGTGCAAAACAATTCTAAATATCTTCGAATATCTTTCAAGATAGCTACTGCGAATGTGTCGATATAAACATTTCTACGTATTTACTGTTAAATTGTTTTAAATATGTACCTCGAATGCCGAGGTACGAGATACCTCAAGCACGATACTGTGACGGGCGCAGCGAGCGTAACTATGATACTGAAAGAATCTTCTTACTCAAACAAACTTTTACACCATCGTAAAGAACAAAACGTTACGAGACAATTTAATGCCGCAAATAATTTTTCATGATTAATTCGTGCAATTTCAACGACAGTTTTGTCAATTCATTCTCATTTAACACCTTTCTTGATTACGAATAATACGACTTCGAAGCCGCGTTACATGATATTTTGAAATACAATTATCGTCCACGATTCGGTAGGATTATATTCTATTGCATGGGTCATGTAAGCAACAACATTTTCAATGCCCAACCAAACGATTGACAAGAATTTTTCTGTTAAATACTCGCGTCAAATGCGTTACGATTTTCAGTTTGTTGGGCATTCGACTGGCGCACACGTCTACGATAGTTTAAAATAGAATGAGCCTTCGAATGTCCAAAAATACATCGGACTTTTAGTTAGTCCTGGATATCCAGCCGTTTTGCGTGAAAGCAAAATACGCGTACGAAGGAAACACCGCGTTTCGAGTAGCGATTCTCATTGCTCTCTCTAACCTTTCGGTAATCTTAAATTTAATAGTTGCTCCCGTGCTTATAGTGGGACGTGCAATATGGTGTACAGTCTCTAACTATACACGACTCGTAAGCGAGTAGCGAGCGAATCGTTGATCACGATTTTCAGAAATTTACCGTCGTTTAAAACAGTGTTCGGAGCCGCGAAACGTGTTTTTGTTCAGAAATACTCAGACCCACAAATATTCGTTTATATCGCAGTGGAAATACTTAAGAAACAAATTCGCTTTTCTTCTGTTTTAATACGTGTGCATCGTGTAACAGTGACATTTGTTGCAGACAAAAATGTCAAACACGGAGGCGATTAAATTGGACGCGGATCAAGAATCGTGTGTATCCGAAATAACGAAACCCAATCAAGAAAATTCAGTCGTTCCTGAAACCAACAACGAAAATGCAACTGTACAGGCCGCAGATTCTGCAGCTGCACATAAATCGGAAAATCAAAATGCAGATACCCTTCTGAAAGGCCCAACAGGCACACCGGAGATTGTTAACGAAAATATACCTACGAATGGAACTGTAACCGAAAGTGAATGCGTAACTGAATCTGCAAAGGGTATAGTAGACAATGCTACTATGCTTCCCGAGAGCAAACCTAACGAACAACCGGTAATTTTAACAAACTATCAAATCGCTACCCTCTTCTTTGCTTTGAAATGAAGCGTTTTGATTTTTGCAAATCATTTCCATTTGTTCTCGAACCTCAAGATACGTCGATTTAATTGTTGCATAAGAGACAGCTTAACGATTTAACTTGTTGCAGCCGTGTGCACCTGAGATTCAACAACCGCCGTCCATAGGCGCCGGAGATACTTGTCCCGTCGTGAAACCCGACGAAGCTACCGACGATCGAAAATCGGATAAAGAAATAGCCGATCAAGCGTCGACATTGAAAGAAAACTCGTTCGCGGACGTTGACAGAAAAGTAAGCGACAATGAACTTACGATATCGAAACTGAAGCAGGAAGCGCAGGTAAAACTGAGGAATAGGAAGCGTCGTGTAATAACCAGGTCTGAGCTCGATATATAGAATGCTTTTTAATGATTTCTATTCCGTTTGTAGAAAGCGACCGAGGAACGAGATTGCTATCGGAAAAAACTAGAAAGCACAGAGAAGAAGCTAGCAGAGTTACAGGCATCGTACGACGCACTGTTGAAAGGCGACGGCGACGAAGTCTTGCATCGTAGGATGATGGATCAACTAAAAGGTAAACTGATTCAGACCTCGTTGCAATTAGAGGATCGTATCCGCACTTGTTCCAACCAGGAGAAACAAATCAGTGCATTGAACAGCCAAGTGGCTTCTCTGAAGGAAGTGGAGTCCCTTACCAGGAGTCTTTTGCAAATCCGTAATATGGAAGTTAAGCACCTACAGGTAAATCGTTTAAATTATAAATTTGTGAAGCTAGATAATCGAATATTTGACTATTATACAAAATCGATCGAATGTTCAACGATACCGATCCTCTACTTTACCCCCTTTTTGTTTTTACAGGCCGAAGTCGACGATATGGAAGTTCGAATTACCGACGAACGAGATCGATACACCACGATGATAAATAAAATGGATGCCGCGGTGAAACTGAACGCGGACCTGAAGAAAGAATACGAGACGCAGCTTTCTCTCTTCCGAGATCTACGAGAGAAGTACGAAGAAAAGGTCATCTTGTTATCCGAAGAGAAGCGAGCTCTCGAAAATAGCGCGCAGATTGTTCCCCAATAAGTTCCATTAGAAACAGTAAACTGCGTTACTTTGTAATTACATTTATTTGTATAAAATAAAAATTGTTGCAAGTAACACGTAACTGCGTAATTTTATTTCATACTCGTTGATCTTTAACGATAAGTTCAACACTTTCGGTTAAAATATCATCCATTTCATCGGTTTCCGTGGTGTAGTGGTTATCACATCCGCCTAACACGCGGAAGGTCCCCGGTTCGATCCCGGGCGGAAACATTTTTTTGTATTTATTAAGAAAAATGGGAATATATAGTAATAATTTTATTATTTAAATAAAATTGATTACACAATTTAATTGCACTTTAATAAAACAACTACTGTCAAATATCAGAATTAAAGTAAAAATTGTTTGTAAATGCGAATCAGCTGAGTGTTAAATAAACATCAGCGGGGAATCCGTTAACGGAAATCGCATGAATAATATTTGATGTTTTTGTTTCACAGTAATCCCCGCTTGACAAAGAGCTTTCACGATGCATTGAATTTAAATTGCTTACAATCAGTGACGCAATCCTCGACTATTTATCATTTGAAATGATTAACCTCTGTATATTATTTAATTTAAAAAAAAAAAGCATGTCGATATCTGCAACAGTTTCGATCAATAACATTTGATGACTAAATAATAAATATTCGTGAACTCTATGCTTCGTCGACAAAAATCGTTTGAGGAAAATCAATGAAAACACTCTAATTGTAAGGAATCGCGAAACCGGTGAATACCCCAATAACTATCATCAAGTCTTGAACTTTTGCACACGATATGTTCAAGATTTTGTATAAATACTGTGCCACTGAGTGCATTAGACATCAAATTCTCCAAAGCTGCGGTACTATCACATCCATCGAATAGCAGTTACTGGTAAGATATTAACTACACGTTTTGCATGTTGCACAAGTTGCACATTGTTAGAAAACATTTATTTTATATCTGAAAATAACATTGTATCTCGTCGAAGAAGTTGTTTATTTAATGCAACTGATTTTCGGTAACGAATAACGAATTATTTGAATACAGGTGGAAATAATACGTATTGGCGTGAAAAATACACGTTCAACATGAAGAAATCTATCGTATTCGCAATTTTAGCCATCGTCCTTACGACGATGGTAGCTGGAGAGATCACGGAACTCGGACCACCGGGTCCACCACATCCGGTAAAATAAATTTCAAGTATTCTATATATTCATATACCAAATTACTAATTCGTAACAGTTTTAGTAATCTGTAACCAATAATTCTTTTCGTTTCAGCGTCTTCGTCGCGAAGCTAAACCGGAAGCTGACCCCGCTAATCGACCAGTATACGTTCCTCCTCCACGACCACCCCACCCGGTAAATATTTACAAAATATAACTTCATGTTTATATAACAAATAATCCAAAAGAAGTCTATATTAAACATTCTGTTAATTTTCTTAGCGTCTTCGCCGCGATGCTGAAGAGGAAGCTGACCCCGCTAACCGACCAGTATACGTTCCTCCTCCACGACCACCCCATCCGGTAAATATTTACAAAATATAACTTCATTTTTATATAACAAATAATCCAAAAGAAGTCTACATTAAACATTCTGTTAATTTTCTTAGCGTCTTCGCCGCGATGCTGAAGAGGAAGCTGACCCCGCTAACCGACCAGTATACGTTCCTCCTCCACGACCACCCCATCCGGTAAATATTTACAAAATATAACTTCATTTTTATACAACAAATAATCCAAAAGAAGTCTATATTAAACATTCTGTTAATTTTCTTAGCGTCTTCGCCGCGATGCTGAAGAGGAAGCTGACCCCGCTAACCGACCAGTATACGTTCCTCCTCCACGACCACCCCATCCGGTAAATATTTACAAAATATAACTTCATTTTTATATAACAAATAATCCAAAAGAAGTCTATATTAAACATTCTGTTAATTTTCTTAGCGTCTTCGCCGCGATGCTGAAGAGGAAGCTGACCCCGCTAACCGACCAGTATACGTTCCTCCTCCACGTCCACCCCATCCCGTAAATATTTACAAAATATAACTTCATTTTTATATAACAAATAATCCAAAAGAAGTCTATATTAAACTTTCTGTTAATTTTCTTAGCGTCTTCGCCGCGATGCTGAAGAGGAAGCTGACCCCGCTAACCGACCAGTATACGTTCCTCCTCCACGTCCACCCCATCCGGTAAATATTTACAAAATATAACTTCATGTTTATATAACAAATAATCCAAAAGGAGTCTACATTAAACATTCTGTAAATTTTCTTAGCGTCTTCGCCGCGATGCTGAAGAGGAAGCCGACCCCGCTAACCGACCAGTATACGTTCCTCCTCCACGTCCACCCCATCCGGTAAATATTTACAAAATATAACTTCATGTTTATATAACAAATAATCCAAAAGAAGTCTACATTAAACATTCTGTTAATTTTCTTAGCGTCTCCGCCGGGATGCTGAAGAGGAAGCTGATCCCGCTAACCGACCAGTATACGTTCCTCCTCCACGTCCACCCCATCCGGTAAATATTTACAAAATATAACTTCATTTTTATACAACAAATAATCCAAAAGAAGTCTACATTAAACATTCTGTTAATTTTCTTAGCGTCTTCGCCGCGATGCTGAAGAGGAAGCCGACCCCGCTAACCGACCAGTATACGTTCCTCCTCCACGTCCACCCCACCCGGTAAATATTTACAAAATATAACTTCATGTTTATATAACAAATAATCCAAAAGAAGTCTATATTAAACATTCTGTTAATTTTCTTAGCGTCTTCGCCGCGATGCTGAAGAGGAAGCTGACCCCGCTAACCGACCAGTATACGTTCCTCCTCCACGACCACCCCATCCGGTAAATATTTACAAAATATAACTTCATTTTTATATAACAAATAATCCAAAAGAAGTCTATATTAAACATTCTGTTAATTTTCTTAGCGTCTTCGCCGCGATGCTGAAGAGGAAGCTGACCCCGCTAACCGACCAGTATACGTTCCTCCTCCACGTCCACCCCACCCGGTAAATATTTACAAAATATAACTTCATTTTTATACAACAAATAATCCAAAAGAAGTCTACATTAAACATTCTGTTAATTTTCTTAGCGTCTTCGCCGCGATGCTGAAGAGGAAGCCGACCCCGCTAACCGACCAGTATACGTTCCTCCTCCACGTCCACCCCATCCGGTAAATATTTACAAAATATAACTTCATTTTTATATAACAAATAATCCAAAAGAAGTCTATATTAAACATTCTGTTAATTTTCTTAGCGTCTTCGCCGCGATGCTGAAGAGGAAGCTGACCCCGCTAACCGACCAGTATACGTTCCTCCTCCACGTCCACCCCATCCCGTAAATATTTACAAAATATAACTTCATTTTTATATAACAAATAATCCAAAAGAAGTCTATATTAAACTTTCTGTTAATTTTCTTAGCGTCTTCGCCGCGATGCTGAAGAGGAAGCTGACCCCGCTAACCGACCAGTATACGTTCCTCCTCCACGTCCACCCCATCCGGTAAATATTTACAAAATATAACTTCATGTTTATATAACAAATAATCCAAAAGGAGTCTACATTAAACATTCTGTAAATTTTCTTAGCGTCTTCGCCGCGATGCTGAAGAGGAAGCTGACCCCGCTAACCGACCAGTATACGTTCCTCCTCCACGACCACCCCATCCGGTAAATATTTACAAAATATAACTTCATTTTTATACAACAAATAATCCAAAAGAAGTCTATATTAAACATTCTGTTAATTTTCTTAGCGTCTTCGCCGCGATGCTGAAGAGGAAGCTGACCCCGCTAACCGACCAGTATACGTTCCTCCTCCACGACCACCCCATCCGGTAAATATTTACAAAATATAACTTCATTTTTATATAACAAATAATCCAAAAGAAGTCTATATTAAACATTCTGTTAATTTTCTTAGCGTCTTCGCCGCGATGCTGAAGAGGAAGCTGACCCCGCTAACCGACCAGTATACGTTCCTCCTCCACGTCCACCCCATCCCGTAAATATTTACAAAATATAACTTCATTTTTATATAACAAATAATCCAAAAGAAGTCTATATTAAACTTTCTGTTAATTTTCTTAGCGTCTTCGCCGCGATGCTGAAGAGGAAGCTGACCCCGCTAACCGACCAGTATACGTTCCTCCTCCACGTCCACCCCATCCGGTAAATATTTACAAAATATAACTTCATGTTTATATAACAAATAATCCAAAAGGAGTCTACATTAAACATTCTGTAAATTTTCTTAGCGTCTTCGCCGCGATGCTGAAGAGGAAGCCGACCCCGCTAACCGACCAGTATACGTTCCTCCTCCACGTCCACCCCATCCGGTAAATATTTACAAAATATAACTTCATGTTTATATAACAAATAATCCAAAAGAAGTCTACATTAAACATTCTGTTAATTTTCTTAGCGTCTCCGCCGGGATGCTGAAGAGGAAGCTGATCCCGCTAACCGACCAGTATACGTTCCTCCTCCACGTCCACCCCATCCGGTAAATATTTACAAAATATAACTTCATTTTTATACAACAAATAATCCAAAAGAAGTCTACATTAAACATTCTGTTAATTTTCTTAGCGTCTTCGCCGCGATGCTGAAGAGGAAGCCGACCCCGCTAACCGACCAGTATACGTTCCTCCTCCACGTCCACCCCACCCGGTAAATATTTACAAAATATAACTTCATGTTTATATAACAAATAATCCAAAAGAAGTCTATATTAAACATTCTGTTAATTTTCTTAGCGTCTTCGCCGCGATGCTGAAGAGGAAGCTGACCCCGCTAACCGACCAGTATACGTTCCTCCTCCACGACCACCCCATCCGGTAAATATTTACAAAATATAACTTCATTTTTATATAACAAATAATCCAAAAGAAGTCTATATTAAACATTCTGTTAATTTTCTTAGCGTCTTCGCCGCGATGCTGAAGAGGAAGCTGACCCCGCTAACCGACCAGTATACGTTCCTCCTCCACGTCCACCCCACCCGGTAAATATTTACAAAATATAACTTCATTTTTATACAACAAATAATCCAAAAGAAGTCTACATTAAACATTCTGTTAATTTTCTTAGCGTCTTCGCCGCGATGCTGAAGAGGAAGCCGACCCCGCTAACCGACCAGTATACGTTCCTCCTCCACGTCCACCCCATCCGGTAAATATTTACAAAATATAACTTCATGTTTATATAACAAATAATCCAAAAGGAGTCTACATTAAACATTCTGTTAATTTTCTTAGCGTCTTCGCCGCGATGCTGAAGAGGAAGCCGACCCCGCTAACCGACCAGTATACGTTCCTCCTCCACGTCCACCCCATCCGGTAAATATTTACAAAATATAACTTCATGTTTATATAACAAATAATCCAAAAGAAGTCTACATTAAACATTCTGTTAATTTTCTTAGCGTCTCCGCCGGGATGCTGAAGAGGAAGACAAATCTGGTAACCGTAATCAAACAGTTCGTCCGGTAAATGTTTACAAAATATAATTTAATTTGTATACAACGAGTAATCCAAGAAAGTCTACATTAAACCTTCTGTTAATTTTTTTAGTTGATTTTACCAATTGAAGCATGGCCTGGTTACAGACCCCGTTAGGGTCATTCCATGCCACGTCAGTCATCTTTCGGAGGACTATGTCGGATTGTGTTCTAATTTGAATATGTTGTAGTCTTTAGTGATATATAAACGTATCTCGAAGGATTTTTAAAAATTTCAAAATTGTTGGTTTTACATCTGTTTAAAATCATTAAGAAATATTCGTCATCAGCCTGCGTCCATAGAAGCGCAATTCAAAATAATGGACTGATTTATTCGTATATTAAACTTTGTACTCTGACATACATTTTAATATTCTACGCGTCTTATTAAAAAATACATGTGAAAATACGGATTATAATTTCTAATGTAGTATCCTATGTACACTTTAATAAATATTTACAGAGAATGAGTATGTGCTGTTTTATATAATTCTTGGTAATACCTTCATTCATGTTACAAACGTACACGGATTTTTATTCCAAGGAAACTACCACGGGCGCTTCATCTTCATTTTCATCCTGTAAATTACAAAAATCCCACGAGAACTTCCTAGTTAGCCGTTCGCAGAATCGCGAGGCGTAAGACTTTAAATGCCCATCCACTTCGGAATTGATCTCGATGTTTGCAAACAGTATGCGTAGATTGTAGTAAACAAAATTATTATTAACCACAATATCGCAAAGCATATCTTCGGGCACGTGCGTTAACTGAATTTCTATTGCTTTCATAAATTCGAAATAAATATCGCGACGCTCCGATATCGCGGAATCGGCACCGCAAATAAGATATATTTGCTTTTTCCAGTGTTCAAAAGCATCGAGATTTTGACCAACCAGAAAACAAACAAATACCAATTGCAATTCACCAATGATCTCCATAGGTCTGGAAGAAAGAAATCAATAATACAATTGTAAGTTAAATTCACAACAGAAATAATTACTAATCTTACTTTGTTAATGTATTGATAAGAGTATTTAATGCATAACTGGAATCAAGGGAATGCCTTGTAATTTCAGTAGGAGATGCACCGTCTGGATAATTTTTATCAGGCAATTTGGACAGTCTCAACTCTGTACCAGGTCTAGGTTTCAAATCAGGAAGTAGTTCTTCCTCTTTTGCTTCTGTAGTGATTGCACTTCTTCTTTTTTTTGGGTATGACACTCCACCTCTTGGTCTCATAGCATCGCTACAAGGCTCTAATTCTAATGCTGACCGTACAAAACTGAAGTAAGATAAATGACTTTATCATACAACAAAATAAATCTAAATAACAGATAATAATAATTTATAATATCAATTGACATACCCACATATGGGTGAACAACGTTCAATTAGCGAAGGACTAACATGATTTGTTAATTCTTTCCATTGGGTCCATATATCAAAAGGATAAGAACCCAGATACCTATTTAATTCTTTCAAATTATCTTTTAGCTTTTGAACTAATTCCTCTGGTACAACTTTATATAAAAGGTTTAATCTTATTAGTAAATGTTTCACTTACTCGACACGTGAAATATGTACCAAATATTATTATACCTTCTGAACTGAGGTCTTCCTCTTTTGTATCCCAACGTCTGACTAAAAATTCAGATTTCTTAAATGTATGAAGAAAACCAATTTTGGGTGCTGTTTCTCCAAATTCATTTACAGCACTTTAACAAAGGTATATAAACATAATTACTGCAACGAAGGCGAAAGTATTAAATGTCATATAATTACCTGTAATGGACATAATGAAATCCTGGTGGAATCATTTTTATGCCTTTAAAATTATGATCTGTATTCCACGATTTTAAATCGATTCCAAATTCTGTACCGCTCGGTACGTTCAGTACAACTAATGTAGCATCCTCGACCAAAAGTCTCGCGGATAAATTTCGATACCTGTCTCCTTCCCTTGCCATGATTAATCAATCACTCTATAAATTTCACTCTTTTCCTCTTTCGTACAAACTGAACTGCTAATATTCACATAATCAATTTATCATTACACAGTATCAGACACCGTTGGACAAATACACTGGGTGACACGATTTCGTGAAAATCACATCGATGAAAACGCAAGATAGTACTATTCAAATTTTATAATTAAAGTCACTATACATATTTTGGTAATTATTTACATTAAGGGTTTCTTAGCCGATTTTAATAATTTCGTTATACTACAATTAGCTTTCAAGATATTATTCTTGCAAATATATTAGAATCAACGCTCGCAAAAAGACTGACTTACATTCTTTGGTAATTTTTTATTGAAAAGACGTCACCACTAACAGGAACTATAAACATGAAAGCGAAACACCATACAAACGTGTTTGACTTTCGGCGTTTGACGAAATAAAATAATTCTTATACAAATAGTACTCGATGTCATTTAAGCCAACATGGACAATAATCATCCGGATTTAACAGTAAACGAAACTGTTCAAGTAAGCACTTTATTCTTCAAACTTTACCTTTGTATTGAATTTAATAACACACCTTGTCTAGGTTATTTTGAGGTTATGCTGCCTGTACATTTAACAGCAATTTACAATGAAAATACTATCCTAATACTATATATGCAATGTTCCTCTTTTATTTTATTTATATATATTTCTGTGATACTAACTGGTTTAATGTTTTTGCAAAAGCAATAAGAGTATTAACCTGTTATTGTACCATATCAAATCACTAATTCCAAGAATTCTAAATGTAAACATTTTTTTCTTTACAGGATAGTCATTTCAATTTGGAAAAATCAACGCAATCTTATTTGTTGTTAAAACAAAAAATTTGTAAAACACAGTAAGATATCTAAAATAAAAGTCACTTGTTCTCTATATGTATTTACATACAAGGTGTCCCAGATTTTAATGACAAAACATTAACTTAAAAATGTATAAACATGTTGTTTAAAGCCTTATTTAAAAGATATGCTGACAAAATTTTGCTATTGAAATCTGAGATACCCAATATACAGGGTGTTTGGCCACCCCTGGGAAAAATTTTAATGGGAGATTCTAGAGGCCAAAATAAGACGAAAATCAAGAATATCAATTTGTTGATCGAAGCCTCGTTAAAAAGTTATTAAAAAATTAAAATAAAAAATTTGAAATCATTCACGGAAAAATTATTTTCGGTTGCGGGGGTCAATTACAATAATTTTTGGTGAATAGACATACCCCCGAAATCCTGCCCAGTTTCGAGAAAAAAATTCTTTAATGAAAATATACCGTGTGGCCGGAAATGTTTCTATAACTTTTTAACAAAGCCTCAATCAACAAATTAGTATCCTTGATTTTCGTATTATTTTGGCCTCTAGAATCTCCCATTAAAATTTTTCCCGGGGGTGGCCGAACACCCTGTATATCATTTTATACGAGAAAATTAAAAAAATAATATTTTTATAGCGAAGTCATTAAACAATATAACGATAAATTGAAAGAATGCGAGCGATTAAAAACAGATTTAGATGCAGCAACTAAGCAAACAAAAAAAGTTACATGTAATTATAATTCTACATTAGCCAAAGTTATTAAATTGGAACTTGTAAGTATTATGCTACACAACTCCTAAAGATTCTTTCTAGAATAATGTTTTAATTTTTGTGGGATAAATCTCTTTCTTCTAGCAAAATACAGAGTATAAGAAAAATATTGAAACTTTGGCAACACAAGTGAATGAATATCAAATAAAGACAGCAGCAGACCAACAGTACATACAACAATTAGTATGTAAAATAAAAGATACAGATGGACAACAAAATGAAAAGATTATGGAGTTTGATTTAGAAAAATCTTCTTTACAAAGTCAGTTCCATTATCTAACCAATTTCGAACTTAACAATATATATTACAGATGCCCATTTTAACTTCCAAAACATAAAATTTCCTTTTCAGTGAAAGTTAAGGAAGTAGAACAGGAACTAAAAAGTGTTAAGAAATCTTATGATATGAAGATCAAAAAGATGGAAAAACAAATTTCCGTAGAAAGTAGCAACAATAATAACAACAGTAAGTTGAATGAACCATGCAAAACCAGAAAGTAATGCAAATTAATATAAATGTAATTCTATTTTTTTTTATAGAAGTAAAAATGAAAGACATTGGAACAAATACAATAGCTGCTAATGACGAAATAGTGAAACAGCCGGAAGTCGCGGATAAATGTATAATGACCGCTGAATTTTATAAAGTAAAAGACGACATATATCCCATATTTTGCGCGAAATGTGAAGTCCTATTGGAACCAGCCCCCCTTGAAAAAATATGCAATATTATGACGAAATCGTGTCCTAGGCTTATCGGACAAATTTCTTCTCCTACCAAAAAACCGCCACCACCTTTACAAATATCAACAGGTAAGGTGTTATTTAAAGTGCGTTCGCATAGAAAAAAGTATAATATTATAAAATTATATTATTTTAGAAGTTAACAACGAACACTGGAAAACTGAAAACTTATTGCCAGTGTCTGGAACACCGCCGCCGCATTTACAGAATCAAAACAATGACTCGGACTTTATGAATGCAAGCCTTTTACATTCTCACGCGCCAATTGGATTAAACCATGCAAATTATTGCAATAATTTCCCTCAAAGTTCCAATTTAATGAATCAAGCTAGTTATTACATTGGATCGATGCCGGTTAATCCTCTGTTATTGGCAAACCCGAATATAACCGAACCAAACAATCATTCGAAAGATATAGCATCTTCGTTGTCGCTTATTTCTTCGTTACAAAAGAGGATAGACTCGCTAGAAATAAAAGTGAAGAAGAAATTCAATAAAAGGAAATTGGAAGAGAGCAACAACTTTTGGCAACACAAACATCCAAGTCCTTGTTATATGTGTAACACTAATAATTCTATGCAGTTGAATTTGATCGATATGTGGAAGACAATGTCCGATATTTATGATAACAAGGCGAAGAGACAATTTAATGTAAATAAGCGTAGTAATAAAAATTTGAATAAATACAAATTGTCTCGGTTAAAACCTAGAAAGAGGTTGCAAAGTGGGTATACTGGTTCTTGGGAAGTCGAGTCAGTTGTGAAAAAAATTGAACCGAGTCCTAACAGAAAGAGGTCAAAGAAATGTAAACATCGGCATTCTACGCTGCTCGATAAATCTAATTTGTTGTCAAATGAAGAAGAAGATTTAGATAAGTCAATTACTGATTCCGATACAGACTCATACGATGTTTTATTTGACGATAGTCCTCGCATAGATACAGATGTGAAAATTGAGGGAAAAAATGTATCGCGTGTAGAATTGCCTACTACTCGTTCGAAATCTAAAAATCGTTTGAAAGCAACATGTTCCACTCAGTCTACCGATGTAGATGAACCCGGAAGTGTACAAGCCATACGAAACTCTGTTGAGTCTGTTAAATCTATAGGAGGTGAAACCGACTCAGGAATATTGTCAGATTCGATCGAATCTTCTAAACAACTGGAATTAGATGTAAGCGCATGTTCAAATGCGAGTAAGTGTAACAATATGATAGAAGCAAAGTCTTCCGTACAAGATATATCATTTTTCACTGAAAATGTTAAGTCAGGAAAGCTTCGGTCTGCAGAGCAATCCCCTATAAAAGTAATTAAATCTAATGAACTAATAGACACAAGTATTAATTCCGAAATACTAAACTCAGATGAACGCAACGATAAAACGGAGGATGAAAAAGAAACAGAAGATTCTCATTTTAATGGTGCAATATCTCAAACTAAATCTACCTTCAACGACGTGTATTCTACCAGAAAGAGGAAAATGAGCGAACGTCAGGACTCGAACAAGCGTGGCGGCCGAAAAGATTTATTTACAAAACTAAGAAATTTAAGAAAGAACAGTCAAATTAAAAAGATGAACCAGAATGTTTCGAACCTTCAAGTACAAAACTGTAACCACGAAAAGCCTCACATTCCGCAAAAACAAAATCATTTAGCCAATAAAACAGTGTCTAGTAACAATAATAATTGTATACCTATAAAAAGAGCTCGTATCGCACATATACCTAAAAGTACAATAAACAAAAAAAAGAATTCACAGGTCGGAAAATGTTTCGTAAAAAGTATAACAAATAGAATGACATCACAAGTCAGTGCTGATAATAGTATTAAAGTTAATACAAATACGATGGAGCAAACATTCAATGAGCCATTTTCAGCTATGGAGGGAATTGAAAAGGATGACGGTAATGCAACGTTAGAAAAGAAATCTAATAACGGAGTAGAGGAGTTAAAACCAAATTGTGTAAGTATAATAAATTCTAACATAACAAATGTTATAAAAAATAATAATGTTGATGAAGTATTTATTGCTGACATTAAACATTCGTCCGAAAATGATTTGGAAATACGAACTTCATCGAGTATAGACGTGGATTGTTCTGATAATTCTACTAGCCTTTCTAAGCCCGTTATGAATGATAGACCCAAAAAAATAATGGAATTAAATGAAATGGAGATTGAATCGAACGAGGAGCGCGAAAGTTTAAAAGAGAAGAATGAAAATGAGCAAACTGCTGAAATGACTGAAAATTCAAATATTAACGAACCTCGCAATTTAGGAAAAGAATCTGTTTGCGAGGTAGACTTTCAACTTAATCATGACAAATGTAATTACAATGGAAGTCGTGCTGATTCTGAACCCGACTTGGAAATATGTAGCGAGAGTATCCAAAATATTATAAAGATCGAGCATTCGTACGACTCCATTCATTCGTTTTCAAATTCAAAATGTATACAATCGATCAATGATCAAGAAAATGATACAAAAGAAGGAAACTTGAACATCGAAGATGCAACCAATGTCTGTACAGAGCAAGTAAATTCCAATACAATGATCACATTAACATCACATCATCCACTTATGAAACTGAAAGAGTATGTTAGTGAAAGTAAATTTCAAAGTGAGAGCCGTAAAAAACAATTTAAAAAACATCTGCATATTTATTCGATAACAAGTAAGAGTGCTTTTGTCAATTAATTCTTAAAAAATAATAGTATGCAGTCAGTATATGTATATTATGTTTATTTTAGATAAATTTGTAAAAAAGCAATTAAAGAGGCTTGTGGATGGTGACTGGGAAACATCTGTACATTGGGATGTAATTGAAAAATTGAAATCTACCTGCACTCCTCGTATCATAGCAAAGTTAGTAACGTAGTATAACCGCAACAATAAATGTTTAATAAACACGATGCAAGCAACTATTAACATATTATACAATTCTAGGGGAATCGTGGATTTATTAAGTACACTGGAAGAATGCGAGAAGAGTTTAGATAACACTCACACACCGCCTGCACCGTTAATGACAGTAACACAGCAAAGAATTGTTGCGTTATTAGTTGATTTAGAAGGATCAAAGCCAATGATTTTTCAGTTTGTTCAGGCTGGCATAGAATACAAACTGTATAGAATTAACCAGACAATAGAGGTTTCAATTTTTCTTGGGCATTTTAATCTGTTGCGTTTAAATTTGATAAGAGAATTCATAATAATATTTTTGCGTGTTTAGAAGTCAGTCGTGGAGTCACTTGCCAGGATGTACACCGTTCTGGCGCGAATAAAGAAAGACAGAGAAAGAGTAAGGATATTTTGTTGCGATGCTCTGTATTGTTTGGGACTTAATGCAATACTTGTTTTATATACAGTATTCACCTGTTGGCCAGAAGTATTCCCAAATAGTGAAACAAACAATGGTGCGTACAACTTTTAGGATAGATTCTTAATAATTGGAAGCGAGATCGAATAATTTAGAAATGAATTGTCCTATATTTATTGTTTATCATTTACAGAACTTTTGCCAAAATGCATGGCGCATCTCATCATGTCGCAACAAGCCCAGAACTTTCCCAAGCTCAATGCTCTGAAGAATTTAGTATCAGTATTTTATAAATATCAAATGGGGACAATTTCGAAAGATGTGTTGAACAAACTTTTAACAGCTCTTCAAGGTAAACAAATATTATTTTATTTCAAATTTAATTTAATATTGATAAATTAATTCGAATCAATTAATCTCCTAGAAAAGTCTAGCGTTGAAGTGGAAACAGCCATTTTACTTTTGGCGAAGAAAGAAGGCACAGTGTGGACGTACCAGAACATCATTAAAAGTGCACTATTACCAATGATAATTAATAATAAACTACCGAGCACGTACAGAGCATTTTGTTTGCTTGGTAAGTCTCGCATTCGATAAAATGAGACTGAACGTTTAAATTCGAACTTCATTTGTTACGAAATATTCTTATTTTAGGTAATCTTATGCGCGCGTTTCCATTAGCAGACAACGATAATGTGGTCTGTGGAATTATAGAACAATTATGTGACTTAAGCAAATCCGGCGAAGGTATTTTCATTTAATTAATTCTGTATTTACATCACACATAATACCGAACATTCTGCTAATGTTTTACCGTTTGTATTTTTAATTAGGATCGGAAGAACAACAAGAGGGTATAGTCTCAGCATTGCTGAGCTTGTCTAGACACAGATTCAATGATGTGGTGTATACTATAATGGATTGGACCCCAACTGCACCTCTTTGTACTCGAACTACAGTACAGCTCAATAGACTATTCAATTCTCGTCAATTGGAATACTGGACGTGCTATTTAAAAAAGAAACTATCCTCACAGCAACCGCGTAAACAATGTAAAACATAACTGTTCTTTCTAACTCAGATGACATGAATTTTGTGATATTTGATTAAATAATTGATATTATTTAAAAATTTAAACGTTTATGTTCATGTTCTGTTAACTTTTTATTTCTTTGTCGTTAATTGAATAAAATCTTGGCAATGTTTCTATAACATTTAAAACTGAAGAACTACTGTAATGGTTTTAACGTTATCATAACACTTAACCGTGACAATTATTGTAAAAGTTCCTTTATTTTGTTTGTTGAAGCGTATGATATACTTTTTATATAATTAATCTTCTTTTTAAGATTAAAGTGCGACTGTATTACGTATGTATATATATATATATGTATATTGTTTGTATGCGTCCCGTTAAGAACAAATTTACAGCATATTTCAAACAAGTCAACATAATAACATAAAAGACTAACAACTTTGGCATACCAAAGAGAGCATTTCATAAGTGGAAGCATGCTTCTAAATATCGATAAATTACATTTTGCGCTTGAAGCCTAGTGGTTTTACTTTATATTGCCATAAAAAAAGGAATCATTTTATTATATAATAAAGTTAAAAATTGACTTTTTATTTCTTCGTGTTTGAATTTGATATTTTCGTACGTTTAGTAACCAAGTTTGTCTGATATTATACAACTTATAATTGCACAAGTTATATAACTCGATCTCGAACATTTCGAACAGAAAATCTGCATAGGGAAAGATGCAGTGAAACGTAACATTGGTCGGACCGGCGATTGAATATTCATGAGATTCCGGTCTATCGCGCGAATAAGACCATTGACCTGGTCTCAGGATAGCGTTCATTATCGGAGTAATGAACATTAAATAGCAATTAGGAAGTGTATGGACTTACATAGCTCAGCAATTTCTAGCCGGTATGAAGCGAACGTTTTTCTGAACCGCCACGGGAAGTCGAATCTGCTGGTGGTGCACGGATAGAATAGATTGAAATTTGCTGGTTCGACGTAACTTAATATTCTCAACCATTATATTCGCATTCAATTCGTAAGTTAAATTCCGTTCACTTATAATTCACCTTACTTCTTTAATGAATCTGGCATATATGTATAACGTTACCAATTTAACATTTTATTCGAAATTAAATGACTAGACTCCCGCTTGAGTAACCGTTACACTGAAAGTACTGCCGAGGTCCAAACGCGAATCAAATGTTATAATAGAATATTATATATTTTGATTAGAAATTCTACGCTTATTACGCGTTATTTATTTTATTTTTAGTCGTTTTTTCAAGTACTTATTTTTTGAATTGTCATTTAATACGTTGACACTAGTTTTCCCTTTAGACATATCCTTGACTAACGAAGTTGGCCGCCATAATGGTTACTGGTTGCCCGCGCTTTAGTTAGGCAACGCACAGTAAAAGCTGGTCAAAATACATTTTAAAATTAACTACATGTCAATTTGTGAAGTGAAATTTAAGTAATCTTTCAGAAATGAACAGTGAAAGAAAAATGCGCGAACAATTAACAGTGTCCAAAAACTACGAATCAATTATGTATATTAATATTATATATGTCAAGTCAGTTAAAAGTGATTTGATTTATGTAGTACTTGGGTTTGTTATAATCGGAAAAATTCCAAAAACGCGTTGATAGTGTATTTAAAACGGTAAGATAAAAAATAGAAACTCTAGTACTGCATAATTATTCTTCTTTTTACGATATCTCTTTGTACTAAGCGTGTCTAGCTTCTTTGATCGATTCTTTAACCTTTTCTGCATGGTTAGATTTCGTTGGGGGATGAATCGTAGGAGGTTAACCGTATATTAGAATAAAGTAATTAACTCGAATTAAAATTACAGAAATTGAAAACCGAAGAATATATCAACATGCTCCGATCTTTCCTGTATGAAACCGAAAATCGAACCAGTTTCTCGTCAGGGTTCGAATATCTGGTTGAACGTCGAACGAAGGCGGGCGGGCGGGAAAAACGAATGAAGCATAAAAATGGTAACGTGTAAGATCTCGATATTTATGCTATTTAAACATTTCGGGAAACAAGATTACAAGTTTTTATTCCTTTCAATATAATAATAATAATAATAATCATAATCATAATAATAATAGATAATAATAATAATAAAAATAGATAATAATAATAATAATAATAGCAATAATAATAATAATCAACATATCGTAAGCTTCCATACGCAGAGCACGCTAAGTTAATACATGTACATGGTTTTCTTTACAAAAATAATAACAATGTTTCGATGCAACATTGCGGATCCAGTGATCAATCTCGTCTAGCTAAATGACACTTTAGCAGCTTCCTTTGGATAGATAACTTTCGTATATAATGTATATACATATATATAAATATACATACACGTATTTATATTTATATATACATATATGTGTCCCGCATTTAATCGTTCTTGCCCTTTCTAAAGAGCGTACGCGGGCGAGCGCGCCTCTTTCTCTCACGGTTCTCCGTTTTCACATCTTTTTCATTAAATAAACTACTTATTTGTCAGTTAATCGACATTGTCTTTGGTACATTTACAACGAACAGCATACCGCGCGATAGAGTACGGATTTGGTATGTCGGACGGGGGTACCTACCATCCGCCGTCATTTTAAAGCGCACGCAATTCACGAAAGAAATTTCGTCTGGAAACCTTCCGCGTGTCTTTGGGCGCGAAGATTTCCGTCCGGAAATTAAAAAAGGAAAATGCAAAATGAAAACAACAAGAAGAAGAAGACAGAGATATTCGGGAACGCAAAGAGGCAAACCAAGAAAGGGTAGATAAACATCGTCGAACGGAGTCGATCGGTACGACGAAACGAGCCCGTCGCGAATTTAACGGTTCCGACGTCCACGAGTCGTTTCGATCGACCGGTACAGCCAACCCCACACGCACAAACCCCCAAAATTTCTTTCAAAGACAGTTCTACTCGGCGTGTGACGCGTACCAAAGAAAATTGTTTGAATTTCTTTCGTCTCTGAACCAACCGATTTTTTTTTTCTCTCTCTCTCTCTCTTTCTCTCCTTCCCTCTCCTCGGTACTCTTCTTCGTCTTGATCTTCGCGATAACACGGCTACGGCGCTGTCTGATGTACTAAAATGCCACCACTTGTCTGCACGCTTAAACGATATATCGTCGTATCGAGAGCCCGAGCCATTGCACTCGACCAACGATCCGCGGTGAACGAATAACGATTTCCAAAGTAAAGAGAAACGCGGGCGGATCTGTTCCGAGGGATCGGTTAACGGGAATTGAAGAAACGGAGTCCAGGGACGGTCGTGTCTCGGGCAATCGCTCGTTCGCGACGACGATATTTTACGCTACCAGCCGACGATCGTCGGTTCACCCACGATCTTCCTTCGATCGCTCTGCGAAATTTCAGCGATCGGCCATCCGCTGCTCGCGTTCGAGTAATTGTCGGTTCACGGTGAAGTTTTTTCTCGTAATTTGCGAACCGATCGGCTCGTTTCCGAAAGTATAAAGGTAAATCGACGATCATCGATCGGCAACAATTACTCGAACACGTTAGATCCCCCCGGACAAGCTTCGTTCGACGAATCGTACGAATTCGTTTTGCATTTTGCCGCGCCGCCGCAAGGAAGATCGTTTTTCTTTCTCTCTCTTTTATTTTTTTTTTTACCGGATAATGGCTTTTCCAATTTGGAGAACAACACAGGATGCCTCCGATGCCTCCTTCGATCGCGGTTCAGCTCGCCGGGCACTCGCGTCGTATATTGCGTGCTTCTTTCCGTTTTTTACTTTCTTTCTCATTTTTTTTGTTTTTTATTTCCATAAATAATAAATCGTGTCCTTAAAACGTATCGTTAACCAAATACGCGAGCTAGTTATTAGGAATTAATTGATTAATCGAACGATCGATAGTAATAATAAAAATGAATAAATTGTTCGATCGTAACTAATGATCGTGATTAGTAATAATAGTTAAATCGTGACAATTAATAATTACGAAAATAAGAATAAATTAGGAACCAAGTACAAAGTATGAGACGTACGACGTGAGGGGGTGGGTCGGGGGGGTGTTTTCGAAGGGGGTGAGGAATTAAATTAGAATCACGCGGTTTCTCCACGTTAATTAGGACTATTTATAAATTATTCGGGCTTCGTCCCCGTGAAACACTCTTCTCTCTTAGGCCACGCTCCTCTTTTGTCGCGACTCGTCTCGTCCCGCCGTCGAATCTCGGCTTCTTCAGGATTCCAATTTTCCCATTGTAAAACCCGGGAGGGAACGACCGACGAAACGACGCGAAACCATAAGCGCGGTCGTACCGATCGCGACGCGTTGGACACAAGAGGAGCAAGACGATGCATAGAGCGTTTGGAAGCTTCTCTTTCACTCCGCGGTATCTACAAATATACAAATCGCCGTCGAATACAGATAGATTCTCTCGAGTGCGTCGGAGTACGAACGACGAGAAGATTATCGCTCGCGCCTCTCCTCTATCCTCGAGACGGCGTCGGCGTCGACGTCGGCGTCGGCGGCGTGGCGCGAGGAACATCTCGCGTTCGGTGTCTTTCGAAACTCGCGAGATCGCGCGCGGTTATTTTCGTCGGCTTCCGCGTCGCGACGCGTCCCGTCGCGCGAGCGATCAACCCTGTCACCCGGTCGACTCGTCTCCCGATAAATTTATTTGTCGTCGAACGTCACACTGAACACACTTAACAGGCGTCACACACGAGAGCTTAACGAGAGCGTCATGATTGTAGTTTGTCCGCTACAAACGGGATAATTACTCGTCAGATAAATTCAACGGAGAACGAATCGAACGGTCGCGGCCCTTGCACGGATAATTTACTATTTACAAGCGAAGGGCGAGCGGGCGGGATCAGCTCGCGCGGGACCGCTTCTCGAAGCGACCACGCCACCGATCGTTTCCCCCGTTTTCCGCCATTAGAATTTAACCGATTAATAGTTAACGAACACCGTACCGAGGCTCTTGTTTCCCGCGCCGCACGGACCACACACGGAGGACCACGCATCGAGCGTCTTTTCCGTACTCTCGATACGCGATCTCGCTAAATCGCACCGCCGTTCGAAACAATTAAAGCGTTCGACTTATTTCGAGAATCAAACCTGTACAATCGATGCTCAAAATAATTAGAAGATCTAGCGCGACCGGGGGAACAAACGAAAGCTTTCGGACGAAATTAAACGATTTTACAATTCGCCGCTCGATCCTCTGACTCTTTTGAGCGGCGTTAACACGCGCAATAATTTAAAGTTAATCGACAGGATCGCTCTAATTAGTTTCGACCGGCTGCGGTGCATTGTGCGAACGAAACGGACGAAAATACGTATACCTTAACACGTAGGACTGAAATAAATAAATAACGTCTGTATTGAATGGACAGTACGCGTTATACACACATTTACAAGTGAAACTGCTTGCGAGCAAGCCTCGTGTCTGCGTCTCTGAAATAAACAGAAATTCGTGATAATCGTTCACCAGCGATTTAAACCGGAACTTCCGAGACGGCGGAACCTTGGTGTTCTCTTGGGGTTCTTGATTCTCGCGAAAAGCGCGGCAACGAACGCGTTCGGCGATTCGGAAGCTTCGAGAGCGCCCTGTATCTCTAGTATTTTCGACGCGCGAATCGTTCTATTTTTTGCGTTTGAGTGGCGATGATTCGCGTTGAGGAACTTGCGCCGAACTCGGAACTTTCGACGATCGGTAGAAGAAGAAAAACCAACAAAAGAAAAACAAATTGGAAAACGATTTCGCGAAAAGAAACGTTTCGGCTACGCGACTCGTAGGATTTTTTCCCCAACAACTGACTTCCACTGATTTTTATACTGATTATTTTCTGATTATTATTGTCTGGTCTAAACTATTCGTTTCGTCGGATAGGAACAATTATTTACGGTGTTTTCTCTAATACTCTCTCTTTCTCTCTTTCTCTATCGAGTTTCGCCCAGATCGGCGAGCTTTATTTTTAAGCTTCCCTTTCTTCCACCATCTTCGTCCTTTGTTCTTCCGAAAGGTCCAGCTATTTAAAGTTAAGCTACGTACTTCCTTTTTAATCCTACGTTGCTCTCCCGCTGTTTCTCGCGGGATCATCGGTCTCCACGGGAATCTCCCGATCCACGGTATCGATTCGATATCTCGTTCGCTTCATTCGATGCGTCGCTGGCCGACGATCGACGATTCTTTTTGGATCCGGTCCGCGTCTCGACGTCTCGACTCCTCGCGAACGCAAGACGCGACAGGTACGGAACAAAGACGATACACGCGGTTCGACCGTCGATAATATTTCCTTTTTTCCTTCGTACGCCGCCGCGAAACATGGCCCCATGGACGGAGACTGAAAGCTGGATGATGAGAGTATCGTGATCCATTCCCGTCGACGACGCGTCTCGCGCGGTTCGTCGACGATCCCACGGCCTAGACGCCTCGGGTTTCGTGTCGTGGAATTAGGCACGAGATTGGCTACTATTGATTCGAACGTTTGCCCTCGCTGATGGACGCCATTCTCATCGACTCCGCTTCCGGGCAGTTCCATCCGGGCATTCTTGTTTGCTCTATCGCCGCCTGAGAACACATCGAGCACACGTTACGATTTACTTTCCCCTAATATCGGTCTAAATAAACCTCACGGATGATCTATTTTACCAAGAACAGTCGCGATATTTCACCAAGAAAATTTAATATTCGCACAAAGAAACGCCGACGGACTTGTTCCGCAACCTAATATTTTGAAACGTAAAACCTTTCGAAACAATTAAGCGCCTGCACGTTGATTCCAATCTCAATGAAACAAAGATTTAAAAATAACGCGCGGGTAACGATCAGACGAATCGACAGAAGTAACGGAGAGTAATAAATAGGACTAAGAAATAAATCGTTTACAGGAATTCGAACGATCGTCGGGGCGGGAGGAGTCGACGAACGAATACCGATGTTAGTACACGTATTCTTTACTTACCGAGCTGTTAGGATTCTTGGTCATGAAGATCATGAGGGAGCGGCTGCGGTTGCTAAACGGCCTCAGCTCCGGATCTCGGCCAGGACCATCCACCGTGTCGACGCAGTTACTGTTACCACAGAAATAACGTCGAATGTGAAATTTCGTCGTCGAAGGTACGTGGACGAAATTCGCGAATATATCTACGACGTGTTTGCAAATCGGGGAAAGCTCTTTTCTAAAGAGGACTCGGAGTCTGAGAGGTCTTCGCGCTTTACGATTGCTTCTCCGGCCAGACTGGGCCGAAGAAGAAGAATAGGCAACGACTGAGAGCCAGAGGGGTTCTTAACCGAGGGTTCACGGACCTCTATGGGGTTTGATAGATCTCAGAGGGGTCCCGTGAATTTGAATGGAAAAGAAATTCCGTCTTTGTTTTTGCCGATATGTACCGTAATATGCTCTCGGGCGCAATAGAATGTTTTTATACGTTAGAAACTACGTTGAGAATACTTTTTTTAATATGTACCGGCGAGACATTGGCACCGATCGTCGAGAAGGTGCCACGTATAAAGAACGCCCTTGGGCGGTGTTCGCGATGCGAGAAAAATCAGTCTTCTCGGTCAGATTGCGTTTTCGCGATAGCGATGCCGTTAGTCATCGATCTGATACAAAATCCTGACCAGCGGCGAACGAAACAACAGACTCCGCTCAGGGACGAAGTTATGCAATTTTTAATCAACAAGACGAGGAACAAACAACGTTCGAACGTAAATAGAAAAAAAGTTTGGAAACTCCCGAACGAAGAAGGCGGATGAGATACATACCTCGACCGCAATTCCTTTTGCTTTCGCTTACAGTGGATGTAAGCCGCTATGCAAATGATAACGACGAGGAATACTGCTATCGTGGCACCGCCGGCGATGCTGGCTGTCTCCAACATTACACGTTGCCGGGAAGCTGTAACACAAGATCAGGGTTCTTAGCTAGCAGACACGGTTTCCTGTTTCTCAGACTAGCCCTAATGCCTTTCGGATTGAATGCGAACTAATTCCACGATCGTGACCACGCCAGGTCGGCTGCCATTTCACGAAACGTATGCAAAGTGGACACTGTTCGGGGCTTCCGGGTGCAGTCGGTGTCCCTTTCAACTTCGAAAACCGTTCGGCGTTCCGTGATTTCTGGATCGGGACAAAGCTCGCGTCCAGGAAGCCACGAACGATCCGGTGAATCCGGGTCGAGAACGGCCCCCGGGGGTATATCTCGTTACAACGTAGAGAATACGTATCTTATCGAGGCGTGTATGGTACTTACGTAAATAGGAACCATCTAAATCCTTGAACTCGCATCTCTGCCCGATATAACCGTTGGCGCATCTGCAATACAGAAAAGAGAGAAATGAACGATTAAAGTCGGCCGGTGTTGCGCTAGATCGCGAGCGGCCCGACTTTATTGTTCCTCCGCGGCGCTTCCGCAAAACCGCCGCGCGAAATCCAGGAAGTTATAAAACCTGCTCTTTAGGCACGAACCGCTTTTAGTATCGGGCATTAATCAGATAGGTACGCCGTCGCTCGAACCACCCAATTAGTACACTTAATTATTATTAAAACGAAGGAACACGTCGACGAAGGCGAAGAAAACGCTGCCTATAAACGTATCGGTTTAGAGGGCCCCGTAATTACGCGATAATTAAAATGATTCTCACGGTCGATTTCGCCCGAACGGTACCGAGCAGCGATGATGGCCCCCTTCGAGCGGAATAATTAACCGAACGCACGGTTCCAACAAGGGTCGGCGGAGAACCCGAAAAGATTTACGATTAATTTAAATCGCCGTCGAACCAGCGGGAACGCCGCGCCGCGCCGCGCCGGTATTCGAGCGAATTCACGCTTAATTGTTTTTTCACGGACGCGTCCGTTGGTAACCGGCACGTACGTACGTGGCTTTCCATCGTTTTCGTTCGCCGAGAGTTTCTGACCGTTCGCTTCTTTCGCTCGCGGAACCGAGCACTTGAGCGACGCTTCCGTTACTCCCACGCGACGAAACGTTAACCGTCACCGATCTCGGGAGACCCCGTTCTCCAACCGTGCTTTTACAACGGATTTCACGTAAATACACACTTTTCCGGACCAGAGCAAATACAAGAACCCAGCTCGATGACACTGTACATGAAATATTATTTAATCCTTGAGTGGATTATCGGAGCTCCTTCACAAATTTAAACTAATATCGTATATGTGAACGTGATTATTTCAAAAATTATGTAATCCTCCATTGGTAGATTTGAAAGTAAAATAATTCGGTTGAGATTGAGAGTCCACTTAAGGGTTGAATCGCGAAATGGAAATCTAGATCGCTTTGCTAATTACAGAAACGCTTGGAGGATGCGAAAGAGCCCGAAGAGAAATTGATAGATCGTTAAAGAAAATGAGAACGGCGTGCAAGCCGGAAGCGTGGATAAAACGACAGTATGCATACCCGAGCCTTGCACGCAGGCACAGTTTTTTACGGGCAACGCGTGTCAACGTAAATAAACAAACGAACGAATACCGTGTAGGTAGACAATTCAGTTGCGAGTACGTGGCGCAATGATTTACCGTTGGCTTACTTTCAGTACTGTTTATCGATCTGATCGACGACCTTCCAGTACATTTCCCAAGCCGTCTACGCTTAATTATAGCAATATGGGTGTCGATGATGAAAAGAGATTTACTCGCGTCCGGATCGCGTAAATCTAGTTTCCATAGCGTTTTCTCACTTTTGACGTCATTGCTCGACGCAAGGAAACTTACGCAAAATCGCGATTTTTCGCGACGACCGCCGTATCGCGACCCCCGATCGCTACGGAATCGTTGGCAAATGTCCTCGTCGAGCACGAGGGACGCAAGAAAGTGGAAACGCTTATTATCCAGCACTTTCCACGACCAGAATTTTCTCCGTCCGTTTCGCGGAATACTGGTGTGTGCTCGCTACGCGGAAATTATGGGAGCGCGAACGAGGAAAAAGTGGCACGCACGATGCCTCGCGAGAGGAATCAGTCTCCTACGTCCTTCAGGAATTCCAACGACTCGACAAATTCTCGAGTCCCTGTCCCTTCAAAGGCCACGGAATCGACCTAGACACGGTGGTCCAGGGACGTGTCGACCCATGATCACGGGACCAAGGGAAAATGGTGGTGGTACCCGTAGGAATTTCGGCGTACGTGTCGACGAGGCGCAACCGAGGATTAGCGTCGGCAGGGGCGAAAGGTCGGTCCCTTTTTCGACCTTCTCGCCCCGGTATCGTTCGCGATTGTTCCACCCACGTCGACGGATTCAACCCCACGGCAATGGGGGGTCACGGAGGGTGCGCGTGAGCGAGAAAAAAGTCGGTTCGTCTAATGTTCCCCGGCCTCGTACACCTTTTGACTCGTATACGCGGCCGGGCATTCGTCCGGGACATTTTGGAAATTCTGGGAATCCGTCCACCGGCGCGCGTTTCTTTCGACGAGAATGCGATTATTTCGTGTGAAAGTCGATTGCAAACGGTTGATAGTTTGAAGTTAGTTATCCGATAGAATTCATTGACATAGTACCCGGGTGTGCTTTCTCCCGGATCGTCTTGTATATAAATTACCGTGGAGGTTGTTTGCATGCTCTTTGATAGAGTTGCGCTAAGAATTCGTGAGATTCAGGTTTCGTAGTAGCGAGCGTTCGATTCTCACGATCAGCTGTCTCTGCTGGCCGAGTATTTTCGTCTAATATGCCCGACCGACTCTTATTTACAAAGGGAGTGTCTTCTCATTACGCAAGATTCCAAAGCGTCTTCGCGACGTTGAAATTCCCGGCATAATGCGGAGGTGTCGTAATCGTTCTATTACGAAGCGGGTTTTTCTGCTTCGATCGTCGATTCATAGGACCCGTATCTTATCTCCGCGAGCCACGTTGTCGATTTTAAACGTGAAACGACAGGGCGGAACGATCTTGCGCAATCCGGATTCGTTCGCGGAAACGTGAAACTCGCGAAACCTCGATCAATTTTCTGCGAACCGAAACTCTAGGCTTCCTACGGGGAATTCGAGCGTCGAAACCATTAGCGGGATCGTGTGCTCGCGTAGACGAACACCGAGTATCGAAAACATTTATGCGAACGTCGGTGTATTTACGAGCTCGTAAATCTTCCGTGGAGCCACGATTTACGCGGTCGTTTCGAAAATACGGAATCAGACTTCGAAACACAGGTACGAGTACACCCGGGTTACCTGAAACGTAGGGGTGGGCAGTTCGATGATTATCAGCGAAAACGACACTAAAATGTACTTTGAGCGAAAGAACGCAACGAGTCTCTATCGCGGCCGATCTAAATCGTCGAAAGTCGGCGGTTAAAGGCCGATTATCCGGGACATCGTCGATTACGCGGAAACTGTCTTTCAAATGTCGACGATTATCCGAACGTGTAAACCGAAATTATTAGAATTTGAAAGCAAGACGTGTGGTCGAGTACGATTAGGCACACCGAAGCTTGCAAATTGGTACAGTCGATGAACAGAGAAATCCGTTTTTCCCCGTCACGATCACGCGAAGGAACATTTAAACGCGGCATAAATTAAAGTTCAAGAGCTCGATACAACAAATACCGTTCGGCCAGTCTCCGAGAGAACTCGCGGTTATTATTCACGGTAGATTTCTAAAGTGAACAGGAACGTCGCATGGTAGATAGATGCGATAGCAATAATCGGTTAACGGCTGTTTTATTGGTCACGAAAACACGCGAGTCAAACGCGGCCATGATTTAAATATCCGCAATTGCGCCAAGTGCGCGTTAGTATGCGAGTACGTCTGCGTTCCCATGCGTGCGTACACTTTGCGCACAATTGCGAGCAGCGGGACTTCGGTTCGATTAAATCCAGCCTTCAACGTGGATTCGTCTTTTTAATCGGAAGCAAATTAAACTTCCGCGATACACCAACGAGATAAGAGGAAAGATAGAGCGGCGTTCGGTACTCACAAACAATTATAAAGGAGGGAATCGACGATTTTGACAGTGAAACATGTGGCACCGTTCAGGCAGTACCATTCCGCATAATCCGGTGGACACGTGTACATGTGGAATGTGATATTTGGTCGAGGCGTCGGCGTCGGTGGCCGTGGCTTCGGCGTCGACCGCGATGAACAGGCGTCTGTTGACAAAAACACAAAGGAAATTAGACTTCCATAGAAAAATTCGAACCGTCGATCAGACGCGGTGGTTTGTGCAAACATTTTCGGTAAGATGGGATTTCGTGAGAAAAACGGACCTTGTCGCCGCGCTGAAAAGAGCCCCCTATTGTCCATGCAAAATCACAATCGTCCTGTTAACCGTAGATCGATAAAAGCTCGGCGCGAAAGCGGCTGAGCGGCAAATTTGCTCGATTAAGTTGTGTAACGACTAAAGGCCAAGCATCATTTATCCCATTACCGGCACGAGGGAGAGGCGAATTGTCGAATGGGTGCTTTAGAAATTCCGACGGCTTCCAGGTTTACCAAACACAAAGGGCGGCCGTATTTTAGGGCTGGCCTAAGTGCTCGTGCTCGATTCGCCCCCTCTACCTTAAAAACTTAACTCTAAAACCATTCTTTCTTTTTCTTTTCTTCCCGCATTCCTCCGTTATCCTTGCCAACCTTTTATGACGTTCCCTTCGTCGTTAATTTAAGTTAGTGCCATTAACTCCAACACTTTTCACTTTTTAATCAGATTCTTCCTCCTTCTTGCTTCGAACTTTTCAATATTTGCTCGAGCGTTATTCCATGTTTGTCCAATCGAAAATCGAATTGTCTTTTCTTCTAACACGTGTACTCCGGTACCCTCTGTTCAAAGACACGAGTCAAGATGTGATCGACATACTTTAACGGACAGTGTGTCCTTTTTTGTCCCGCCTCGGTAAGATTTTGCAAATGTCCGAAATTCAGACGAGTAAAAAGTGGTCGCAGGAATGCCAGGCACCTGAAATCATCCTGTTAATCGGGCATCCCATCGAATAACACGAAACACCGAAATATTTGCACATGTCAAGCGCGAACACGAGAGAGGAGAATTAGCCCGAGAGTACGACGTTCCTGTGCACAACACTGCTGCTGCTCGTTGCAGCCGCCCGTGCGAGACTTCGCTATCTGTCACCTGTTATAATTTTGCAATCTGCCGTACGGCCCGAAGGGGATCAACGTTCCACGATGCTACGCGTGCCTCAGGATTAAGCCCTTCTAACCCTATCATCCGAATTAGACCATTTTTACCATTTTTAAAACTACAAACTACTCGCGATATCGGTTCGAAACTTGGCCACCGCCATTTACAGGTAATCCCATTAAGCTACATGATTTTTTTTATACAGAACCACCTGACAGTTCTCAAACTATAAGCTGAAGCGATGATCTCTGCACTTGCAAGTTTACAAACGTTCCTTTAAATATTTATAGATTTCCAAATAATTTCAGTGTCATTAGAACGATTATTGAATATTTTCGAATTTTATACTGAAATTTTGAAAAGAAATAACTGTTAATAACGCAGTTTCGTTTAATCGATCCTGAGGTACCCGGTTATTTCAAGAAGCAACGTTACAGCAGCTAGCATTGTAATTCGTCCGAATTGTTGCTTTTCCTTCCCTCGTCGGAGTCCCTTTGCGGCCCCCTTTGTCCCTTCGCGCGGGATTCGACGCCATTCAGTACCATGTGTTCAAATTCGAGCGAATAATTCGCCCGGTATGCACGTAATCGTCACCGGTCATCGGTGTTTCAACGACGCACGTGTGGCAAGTCTTACAATCTGTCGCCGTACACGCTCGATCGAGATCGTGTTTTAGGAACACGGACAATGGACTTGTTTCTCACGAACGAAAACGGTGGCGATTTATCTCGACGCGTTTGGGATCCTTTTTCGCGTACATGTACTGCAATTTTGCCATTCAAAGCGATATTATACCTTGGGACGAGACAAGTTCATCGTCGAAAGACTACTTTTCTCTTTTGTTCGATCAGAAATTCTTCTATCCTTTCTAAACTATTCCTAACAAATTCATTTTTTTTAAATTAAGTTTGAACAGAGACGTCTATATCACACTGTGTCAAATCCGACCTGAAATCCTCTATCGCTGATATTCCAAACGAGACGCGTACACCACCTACAGTCTACAACTTTCTAGAGTAGATCAAGGAATTAGGACAACTCGAGGCGCGAACATTTACAGCGTTTAATTCCTCCGTTCTCGAGCGGCTAAATATCATCGTCGAGGAGCTGACTCATGCTCCGACGAGAAGAATGAAGTCACACGGGCGACCAAAAATCTCCATCGAAACGTATCGACTGACTTGTCACGATCTATGGCTGACTTCTACAAGAACACTGTACACTAAACACGTACGAAGAGCTAGTAGCACTTAAAAGTCAAGTGGTTGACGGACTCGAGTCGCCTCCAGGCGCGAATGATTACGAGTTCACACTATTGATCATGGAATCGAGAACCGTATCTACGGACAGTGTGCACAATATCACTTGCCACTGTTTGTCAAGAGAAGGGAATAAAGGAGAGCACACGGGGGTCACGAAATGTTAAAGATAAATTCACTAACCTGCTATACCGAAGAGAGTGTAAGAGAGGATGAGCAGAGTGGCGAGGTAGGGTGGGATCCTGCATCCTCTCGTCATGGCAGTGACGGTGGCAGGGTTGTCGGTGGCGGTGGTACCATCCGCGTGACGGTCGGTGGTTCGCACGATGCGATCGACGGCGCGGTCGTCGTCGTTCCGATCGCAAGGAGGTCTGTCGTCCCGCAGCCGTTGGTGAAGGTGACGCAGGTGATGGTGGTGATGATGATGAAGATGACGTAGCTCGTGGATGTCCCGATGACGAGCGTCGGCAGGCTGGCCCTTACACGTAGCCTCATCGTCGGCTTCCTCGTCGACGACGAGCTCGTCGCTAGCCGCTGCTACGCCGTCCCTTCGTTGGTGACATCGGCGACGCTGCTGGTGACGATGACTATGGCGACGGTGTATATGATGGAGGTGATGGTGACGTCGGTGGTGGTAGTTGGTGGTACTGCTGTCGCTGCAGCAGACCTCGCCATCCGCCACCGGTGAACTAACCTCCTCGATTACGGTCGCTCCTACCGCTTCGCATCCTCCTACTCCCCTTCCTTCGGCGCCGACGTCGCCTAAACCTCCCACCCCCGCGACCTCTTCTGTTTCTTCAACGGCACGAGCTCCACCACCTGGCCCGCCGGAGCTCCGACGCACGTGCCGCCGCCTCCCTGTAACCAAATATCCGACCAGACCCGGCCGTTTACAGTGTGTTTTATCTCGGCCGGTCTCTACTTCATCTAGCCGGCTGATCCACACACGCACACATCCGCACACCCACACACGCCGCCGCCGAGGGTAGTTAAACGCACACTGTGTGGCCACGCGCGACCCCACTCCGCAACCGAATAATATCCCTCTTCCTAAGGAATCCTGGCTGGCTCGAGCAGCCACGCGACGCCTGACATTTTTTTTTTCCCCCCTCCTCCGGGGGTAAAATGTACCAATCGCTTTTGGCCAGCTCTCTTCGACCCTCGCGTCAATTACTTTTCCATGTATCGTTGAAAAAAAACTTTTCACGCGCAAACGCATCGAATCCCCGTTATTTGCTCTTTTCGACAATAACAATTTACGTTGAGTACAAGGATGAGAAACGGAAGGTGTTTGATCAGTAGAGATTTTGATTATTGACACGAGGGTTGAAAAGGTTGGTCAGTTATCCTACGAGTAGCGTGGTAAGAAGGGATCCCTTATACTTGTACACGGTATCCGTTCAGCAAATACCAACTGTGCAAAAACACATTTTATTTTTTTTTTTATTTACTTTCTTCGAAATTGTTGCTAGCGGAATAGTTTTTGCGTTGATCGTGCTCTGAAGTAAAAGTGTTATTGTACCCGGTTTCCTCTGTTACGTCGTTAAAACGATTAGAAGTACCGTTGAATATGCCCCTACGCTATTAAAGCGCCATTGAAGATTCGATAAATATCCCGACAAACGTCTACAACAACGGAACAAACGTCGAGAGGGCCGGTGTAAATATCGACGAGCAAATATTGTACGACGGATAGCACAGCTTCGAGGGTTGTCGCCTTTTCTGGCCCGGGGGTGGTACGTAAACCAGAATACGGCCGCGCGAATGCGATACTTTTGTGGTCGGGGCAACCCCCTCGAACACCGGTCAACAGAGTTTCCAAAAACTGCAGGCTTTTCCTTGTTAGGAACGCGAACTATTGTGTACCCCCGGCCGCCATTGTGCGTTCTGTTTGAAGGTAAAATATTTGCCACCAAGAGAAATTGTTTCGTGCCATCTGCTACCCCGTCGTCGATTATTTCCCGGCCGCGATCGGGATCCGGTTGCAGACTCTGTCCGCTCTCGTTTCCGCTTTTTCGCGAGATTTCGTGACGCGATTCGACTTCCGCCATCATATCGAGAGCGTGCGCCACGATATCGTCCACTGCACGAACAATACGACACCGCGACCTACATTCCAACCCTTTATTTATAAGGGTTGGATCCGGCCACGACCCGGCAATTTATTTTATTTTTAAATATATTGCCCTGCAGCGGCCAAGAATTAAATCTAGGGTAATTTATGGCTACCTACGACCTACTTTGTTACGTATCTTTAGAAAAGAATCGCGACCAACGACATTACGTAAAAAGAACAATCTGTCTCTTACTCTTAAACGCATCGTCGATCGATTTTCAGATCGAAAACGAGTTACCAGCAACGCGCTCGATCGAGATACGATCTTAAACCGCGGAATTGTTTTTCAGGAGACATTCCAGACTTCGCTACGACCTTGTCCCAGTAACAGCCGTGTCGTAAGCTGCGTACGATATCGCGCCGCGACAAAGATCTGGTTAATTGCCGTGGATTTTTCTATCGTCTATTCAGGAAAACTCTAAATATACCCGCAACGATCGCGCTCGCGTTAATCGAGGCGATAAAATTTTAAAAAGAATCGCCACGGAAACACGACGAAACGACACGACCGATTTAATTGCCTATCAACGTTATCGTGATTCATAGAATCGATACGCGCCCGTTACAGGGGGGAAATTAGCACCGTTTAATATCGCAACATTTTCACGGAACTCGAGTCTCCGGGCGCTCCGGTTCGATTACCATATTAAACGCGACACACAAAACTGACGTTTTGCGTCAAATGTGACGTCAATCGACGCTGGAACATTCACAATCAACTATCGTACTCTCGCAATGTGGAGGGATCGACGACGTCCTTTGACGATCGTGTCTTGGAGAGATATCGGCGACCGAAACCGTCCACCTCGCCATTTGCATAATAAAAAGATTCGGATTTTAATTCACGCTTGCAACAATACCATTCAAATGGAAGACTCTTCTAAGGATATACTATTTCGAAGAACTATCGTGCATTGTCCTCTGCAACAGATACGGAATTTAAATTCGGAATTCAGCCTAATAATAGACCTCGTTTCCGAATGTTCTGTAGGAAAGAGGCCACAGTTGTTCGTTCGAAACAATAAATACCAGCAGAATTTTGATACCACCATGTGCATCGAAGGAGAAACCGCGTATCCCGTCCGATCGCGGTGCATCAAAAACATTCGATAAATACGTGGAACGGTACCCCGGCGCGTATCTTGTTTCCGATCCGTTGAAATTTACTGGTAGGCGACGAAAATCGCAGAAAAAAGCTGCAACCGTGCGAGAGCTCGCGCTCGCCGCACCGCGAGGCCGGAAGTTACGGTAAAGTGCGTGCAATTAGAAAATAACCTAAATTCAAGGCAGTTCGCGATTCGTGTTAAGAATGATCTCGCCAGGAAGGCAAAGAGGAGCGAGCAGAAGCGTTTAACAGCGCGTCGAGGAGGGAAATGGTCAATTATCAAGAGCAGACCACGTGGGCCGTACTTTAAGTCACCGGTCAGTGCAACGCAACCGACGTGTCACCTAGTTACAAATAAAATTTCGTCTCTGGACGTCGATGGAAACCATTATTTCCCCTCTGTTCGCGCGACTCTTTCCCCGAGATTCGATCGGAAAGCGCATCGAACCAACGAAATCGTGTGCACGCGAGCGGCCAGTCACGCTGGTAATTAGTGACTTCGATGCCCGCAAAGGCGACGAACTGGTGGAAACGATTCTATCGCCGACATTCTTCGACCGTTTGCGGAGGAACGCGATCGCGTTCCCGCGACGCGTGATAGTCTTTGACATTTATCGGGTATTACGGAATGAAAGTTGATCTCGGAGAACCAGACCCTCGATAAATCCAGTTCTCTAAGTTTCTCGAAACTCTTCTCGAGGGATTGCAATCTTATCTGGTGTTTTTATTCAAGGTGGATTCCTAGCTAGGATCGAAAACTGTTATACTGTCGATTCCGGTTTGTAAAACAGTTATGGAAAACTTTTATTTCGAGTAACTGTTACAGAAATTTATCCATGGCTCGTAACTCTTATAGAATAGATATAGAACCGTTTCAGAATTTACTTAGAACCGATATTGGATTACCATTTGTATTAATTAGAACATCGTTTCGGTGCTTTGTAGATCGTTTGTTTTGAATCGCTGAACGCTGTGCTACGAGGCATCGATGAAATCGGATCATCGGTGTTGTATATACTGTTAGCGCCGAAATTATAACGTATCAGAGTATCGCCGCTGTTGAACGTAAACCTCGATGACATATTTATAGTTCAGGCTCGTCGAGATAAGCTATTCTTAAGAAGAAATTTACGCCGCTGGTATTCTTTTCAAAAAGGCGCCGATGCTAACATATACTGTTTCAATAAAGTAACCAGACGTCCTGGAAAGTGTCCTGAATCGGACACTGACATTATTATTCCTCCCCCACGTTTTATAACTGTTTTCTGTATGTCGATGTAAGCGTGGTCTGTCATTGTTTACATTATACAATTAACGTGATCTGAGAGATCACAAGCATGTAATCTACCCCCTGGTCGCTACGCCACCAATGGGTTTAGACCCAGAATTACTTGCCCCTTTAACCTTTTCCGTATCATCGAGGAAAAGGGCACTTAAATGATCCAACCTTGATTCCAAGTGCTATCGCATGCATGGAGAAAACAAATCATTCCGAGGATGAACAAACGGATAAAAATACCTACACGGATCGACGATTTCCTCCATTGCGCAACACGCTTCGCGGATATAGATACTTTAATAATCGCGAGGGGAACTAAGTAAACAATGTGTTTTGAATTTCGCGTTAAGACCGATAACCTGGAGATATCGGCGAGTTGGCGAGAGAGATTTCCCTTCGAGAAGAGTTTCACAAGCCGATAAGTATTGAGAAATTCGCGCGTATAAATAGAATACCGAGGAAATATCGATTGATTCAACGAGACGTTACGTAATCACACGATACGCTGTTAATTGCTACTCGCGGGTTTTCCCGACGCCGTCAGTGTTCCAAAACGTCGAAAAAAGCTGACCACGATTAGAAACACCGGAAGAAAGAATGACCGAAAGATCGCTTTTCTCGACCTCGAAACCAGAAGATCTCCATTACGAGCGACCACGTTTAAAACGTGGCGTCCTGTTTTCGACTTAACGTTTCCGCGCGAACCCCTAATTTGTTAAGCGGGTACGCGTCAAAGGGCCTCTTCGCGCGCCTCTTCGAAGGGAGGGAGAGCGAGTGAAAAGAGAGGGCCAACCCTCCTGCAGACGGGATAAATGTATCGAGACAGGCACCGACAGCGATTCTCGAATTATACAAGAAATTCTGGGCGTGCCCGGTCACGTGTCTCCGAAAAGCTGCAGCCTCCGTTTCGGCGAGACAGGGAACGGCAAAAGGGAGGAGAGAGACAACTTTTCCAACGGGAGGAGCCCCCTGGTCCTTCCGGGACCGGTCCGGGTATCAGCTGCGCCTCGTTTAAACACGGAAATTCATAAGTCCGAGTATGTTGTGCCCCCCGAGATTGAAAAAACGTCCTGTCTGCTGCGAGCAAAAGGGGAACCAAGGGGGCGAGATAGGACAGGAGAGATCGCGTCTGAGCCAACTTCAGACCCCTCCGAAACCCCGTCATCTCCACCCCCGTGCGCCTCCTTCCCAGCCACCAGCTGAACTCGAAACAGCCTGGCCACAAGGCTACATCCTGAGGACTCGCCACAAGACTGACTGCCTTTAATCAATCTTTCTCTTCGTTGACTATGATAGCCAGTATTAGAATTCTAAGTCCTTTGTGTAGTGTCGCCATTGTGAAACTTGGCATACAATAC